CACCTCTTAATGCACAGCACAGTTATTCAATAATGGCTGGCAGGGACACTGTCAAGTGAAGACCTTCTGTCTGAATGCTGCTGGTGTGTGCATTGGGCTGGGCAAGGTGCAGTCCCTGCCCTACGGAGAATAAAACTCAGCAAAGCAGATTTTTTCTTGTAGGGTAGCTGCTTTTGTACCTCTGCAGATATAGGCTGGGATCACGAGGCTCATCTTCTGGCAGTGTACAGCCAATGAAGGGAAAGGCTGCTATGCCATTTTCTTGCCTGTTGCAGGCAACGGTGGGGAGGGGCTTAGCAGCAGGGAAGAGGGGTGTAGGCAGGGTGCTCCCATATCCCCAATCCCTGGCTGCAGTTGCATCCTTGCAGGTGCATCTGTATGTTCATTAATGCGCAATAGTTACTGTGCATTTAATTTAGTACTTGTAAAATCAAGTACTAAATAAATGCGCAGTAACCAGAGTTACTGCGCAGTAGTGCCAGCGAACGCCTTTTCAGTGACACTACTGCGCAGTACCCGTATAATACTGCGCAGTCATGTATTAGCGCTGTCCGTGCTGTGACGTGCTACCGCGCAGTGTTGTTAGGCTGCCACACAATTTGTGTCTCGTGTAGATGCTCCCTGCTCGCAGTGATACGTAGCCAGCAGAAATACACAGCAGCTCTTGGAGAGCTCCAGCCGAACTCCCTATGCCAGCTCTCTCTGGAGGCTTGGCCCCACCCTAGACTGCAAGGAGGAGTGCAAAGGTGAGCCGGGCTTGAAGCCATTTGGACATCAGCCCTTCCAGCTGAGGTTTTGGAGCTCAGCTGCGTCCCTGGAACGTGAGCCCAGTGGTGCGGCCCCGCAGGGGGGTGCAGCCTGGAGCCTTTCCTGTGGGACAAAGGCATTTCTATACCATGGCAGCCCTTCTGTGACACTTCTGTAGGATAGCGCTGATAAAGAAATAAGCTTCCTCTTACTGGGTTTTCTAAAAATAACCCTGGGTCTCTAAGAGGGAGAGGGTTTTCTTTTTTTTTTAAATCCTATTTCCTCTTTTGTCCTGTTGGTTTATTTACTTTTTGTTCCACTGAAACTATGAGTCAGACAGTTTCGTTTTTGCAGCCGCAGGCCTGTACAGTACCCTTCGCCTCCGGTTCCCCCTGAAAGCAGGAACTGTTTACTCCAAATAAACCTGGTCTCGGCTGAATCCACAACAGTCCTCTGCACGTGCGGCCGGCAGCCTTGGCCCTGTCCCCTCGCCTGTATTTACACAACCCGCACTGCGCTACCTATAATGCCGGCAGGTACATCTGGGCTGAGCGGCTTTCTGCCAGTGTAGCTCCACCAGCCTGTCGGGGGGTGAGGAGTGAGATCCCTGATGGGGATGGCCACACCAGCAGCAATGCTGTTATACTGGTAAACCTGTGCTTTTACTGGTCTTGCTTGTTCTGCTTGTGGGTGTGATTTATTATACTAGTGCAAAGCACGGCTTGGCTGGCCTAGCTGTGTCCACACTTGGGCTAGAAGTGCAATACAGAGCTCTGAGGCATACCAGCAAAGGCCGTCTGTGCAGATGCAGCTAATGCAGACAAAACCCATTTTCCCAATAAAGCTTCTGCTGTTCGGTGAGTTGGTTAATGATGCTGGGGAAAGAGCTCTCTTTGCTGGTACAAACTGCATCTTCTCTGGAAAGCAAAGTGTGCCCAGGGGCTACTGTACCAGTAAAGCTTTCCTAATGTCAACATGGCCTTTGACCCAGGCTATCCACATCCCAGTTGCAGACGTGCCCTCGGCCTCACCTGTCCACTGGTCATTTAGCCAGGTGTTTGCTTGGAGCAGTATCCATATTATGGGACAGCCTTGCAAAACCGTCTTGAGCCTCTTTTTCTGCAGAGATGCTGAGCACCCCCAAATCCATTTAATGTCAATGGGAAGGCCAGTTCTCTGAAACTCCTATGTGTAGCCTGTACCTAGACTTGAACTGAAATGCATGTGGGCCCCATTCTTCCCTGCTTTGCACCTTTTTTAAGTAAACCACAGTACGTGGTAATATTTGGCACAAATGCTGTCGGGAGACACTTTGGGGCACTGGTAAGGAGCTGGGCTCTGATACCTCTGGGCTAGTCCCCTCTGCTGTGGTTCAGTCACCTTACCAAGAAGATAGTCCTCACCCAGAAAACTTGGGGTGCAGCTCTTTTCAGAGTGCTCGCTGTAGGCCAGCTCGCTTACCTCTGTGGCTCTGACTGCAGTAGGTTTAAGTGAGCCCATTTTACAGAGTGGGAAATGGAGGTCTTATGTGAGTTTCCCCATGGTTTTGGGGGGAGCTGGCAGATTGCAGTCGGGACTAGAGCTCTGGGTTTCAGGCCAGTGCCTCTCCTCTGGGCTGTACTTCCTGTAGCCCTGTGTTGTTGTGCTACAGGAAACTTTATAAGATGCCCATTAAGATGGGACTTACAAGCTGATGTGCTTTGGGGGCTCGCTGTGGCCATCCAGACAGCCTGCTTCACGTGTGTGTCATGTCTGAGCTCAGCATCCTGCCTAACTCCTGGTTGCAGAGACTGTTTAGGACTGCAGCAGGCACACAACATACTCCTTTCCCCTCAAGGGAAATGACTGGGTACATTACACATTCCTTAATGCTCCTTAAATACGGTACATTTAGTTCAGTACTCTGCCAGGCTCTTCCACTCATGGAGGAGCATGGGGGCACATAAGTAGGGGCAAAACTGGCATCCTGTCTGCACTGTGGCTTTGTGCCAGTGGAGTATTTTAACTCATGACAGCAACAGCAACAAACTCTCCCCTTGGGCTTTGTTTCATGGACCCGGTTGCCAGTTCCCTACTGACTCATTTCCTGCCTGTGCGCCAGGCCTGCTCTGTTTCCTTGCATGTCATGGCTGAGCTGAGAATACCTGGCCTGCTCGACTGAGAGCTGTTTACTATCCTGCAAAGGAGGAAGCTGCTGCTGTGTCCAGAAACAAGGCAGCCTTACCCCAAACAACCCCCACCGACTTCCTGGCCGGGGCCTCCAGCCCCACCAAGCTTTACCACCAACTTGCGTCTTGTGTGCTTATTTGTGCTCAAAGCAGAGGACTGGGGCTTCTGCTCCCAGAGAGCCGGTGGGTATCAGATGGTGGTGGAGGGTAACAGCCTTTTATCACAGGAGCTGGGTTTAAAATGGGGGTCGGTGAAGTCCCTGCATTTAGTGCAGCTGGTCTGAGCTCGCACTGAAATGTGCCCTTGTGAAAAGGGTTAAGACTTTTTTTTTTTTTTGTTTTTTTAAATCCTAGTGGCCATGTCTGCACAAGATACTTACTGCACATTAGCCTAATAATATTGCACGGTACTGTGTCACGGCAAAAACCATAGCCTACTGTGCAGCGTTATTAGACTAATGAGCAGTAAGCATCACTAAATAGCCATGTGCCGGTGCTACTGTGCCGTAACTCTAGTTACTGTGCATTCAGTATTTCATTATGGAAGTACTGAAGTAAATGTACAGTATTTACGGAGCATTAACGAATGTGTAGATGTACCCAGTCAAAGGAAAGGAGTATGTCGTGTGCCTGCTGCGGTCCTAAATAAGTCTCTGCAACCAGGAGTTAGGCAAGATGCTGAGCCCAGACATGAGCTTCCTGTTAGCTTAGGCAGGTCACGCTGAGGTTACAAACCTGCCTGACCCTTGTTACTGCCGGGCTGATGGGTGTGAGATCAGACGGCGCGTGATCCAGGCAGAAGCTAGGGACGGCCTCACAGTGACTAACAAGCCCTGTTTGCTCAGTCTTCATGCTCAGAGCTTTCCCGTGATAGTGCCATGAGTCATTGTGGCAGCTACACCACTCCAGCTATTTAAGACTTGATGTGTTGCTAGCAACTGTTCGGCAGGGAACTATCCTGCTTTGTGTGCAGAGAGGTGATGGTGGGTTCTTTCTTTTCTCCCTTTTTATTGATGATTTTGATTCCTTGAAAATGCATGTCAAAAGTTCAACAGCTAGCACCATTTGCACTGGCAGCACTGCCAATCTGGGACGATTAAGCACCTTTGTAGGGCGTGGGACTAAGGCTTAGTCAAAAACCAGGAGCCCCTTGTGCTGAGTCCCATGTAAGAGCATTTTTAGCTTATTCTCTAGCTGCCTTTCTACAAACTTAAACAAGCCCAGGCTAGGCCAGAAGAGCACCCACACAGGTCTTTGCAACTCGATCATGTTAAAACTCAGTCTCTATTCAGGGATATTAGAATATGAGGCAAGCCCTAAACTGGTTCCTCACTGCTCTTTTACATGGCCTCAGGCTGCTAAAAGCATCCCAGCGCCTGGCAGGGCCTTGCAGATCCATATGCAGACCCCATTTCTGCTGCCAATAGCCTGCTAGCAAATAAGCAGGAACATTAGTTCTGCACTGCAGTTCAAGGGTTCAGACTAATGCATGCAGTGTCCCCAAGAAAGGGGAGAAGGACGTCTGCCTCTCCTGGGTGGGGGGGATATAAATGCAGGAGGATTGGAGTGTTGTTTTGCTTCTGCAGAGACTGGGAGGAATGGGAAGTGGTGAGAAGAGACTTACTAGGAACATCTGAGAAAGGAGAACTTTTCTTACCAAACAGACCAGAAGATCTAGGCTTGGTTAATTTAGCAAAACAAGGGCTGAGTGCAGATGTGACTGCTCCTAGTTAATATACTGGGGGAGGAAACATGAAGAAAGGGAGGGAGCTTTTAAAACTATGGGACAATGTTGGCAAAGAACTTGGGATATGATGAATGCCTCTAGGCTGGCAATCAGAAAAAAAGTTACTAACCGTTGGACGAGAGAGAGGTTCTGGAACAGCCTTTGCATGGACTATTCACACTGCCAGCTGGCTTTGACATATCTTGATATAATTGGGAACATATGGTGCATTTGCCTGAGATAGCTGAGATCTGGTCTCTGACCCAGGCAGTCCCCTCCAGGAGTAGGTTGGGGTAGGTGCAAGACCTGGGGGAAACCGGGCAGCTGCCTGTGTGACTGCTTGTGATTCTGTTCCCCAGAGGACCAGGTGGCTCAGCAGACAGAGGAGGTGTTTCGGAGCTATGCTTTCTATCGCTACCAGCAGGAGAGGGAGGAGAGCACAGAGGAGATGCCCATGGATCCCGAGATTGCTGAGATCCAGCAGGAGCCAGGCAGGTAAGGCCATAACAGGCTGTGCCATTCATCCCTCGCCAGCCAAGCCCAGCTGCATGCAGTATTCTCCCTCTTCTAAGGGCCTCAGCCTGCCTCCCATGGGGTGCCTACCTGTCCCACGTGGGAACTGGGCTTGTCTCTGACTTGTTCCATCCTCTCGGCAGTACCAGTAGCTTGGTGGGCCGGCGCCTGGCCATCATTGGCGACGACATCAACGCGCGGTATGATGCCGAGTTCCGCAACATGCTCAAGTCCTTGCAGCCCACAAAGGACAACGCCTACGAGTACTTCACAAGGATCGCCTCCAGGTGAGGCTGCCAGCATCCTCACTGCTGCCTGGGGAATGGTGGTGGCAGGTGGTACGGTACTCAGGTCTTCGTGGCAGGCACACAGGAAGGGTCAGGCTGAGGAGAAATAAAGAGAAATGAAAGCTTTTCTAGCTTCCTCTATGATCCCAGAGTGCTGGCTCCCCAAACCTACTTGCTGCCCCCAGCTCCTCCCACAGTACATGGGCAGTTATCCTCAGCTTTGGACTCGCTTTGTGAGCTTGTCCTGAGTTTCATGAAGCAACCCCTGATCTCTGCCTGTGTTTCCTGCCTGTCTGCTTCCACTCCTGCACTTAGACACTCATCTTGGATGTCTGCATGTGTAAATGGGTCTTGATGACACATGAGCACCTTCTTAAGTTGGGCAGAGATGGAGGAGCTGGCTCTCCTCCTGCTGACACCACTAAATCAAGAGGGATTATGTTGGACTAGTGGATTTGCAGTGAGGTCAGGCCAGCCTGGGAGGAGAATTAAAATTGCTCTTGGTCAGGCACTCATCAGCTCCCCTTGACCAGACTTTCTCCCAGCTGGGGGAGTCTTGATGGTTAACTGGCCTCAGGGCCTGGTCTTTGGAGGGTGCTGAGCAAGCACAGCTGCAGCTGGAGGCAGCTCTTGGTGCCATGAACTGACTCAATCCAGCCCATGATGCGGTGTATTGTGCCAGCCTTCTTCCTCCACAGCTGTAGTGCGGCAGGCCCAGCTCTTCAGATTTGAGGAGTCACCATTGGGTGAATGAGGAAAGCAAAGAGTCAGAGGAGTGGAGGTCATTCAGACTCACTAGCTGTGGAAGGAAAGTCATGGCTGCTGACGCTCGGAAGCTGTGGGTGAGCAGGGAGCAGGTTTCGATGGAGAAAACGTTGGTCTGGATGTGATTTGCCCTCTGTTGCCTCTCAGGCAGCCTGAGGACAAATACTGGATTCTGGCTGGAGATGAGAGAACTGCTGGTGTGACTGGCTCCTGTGTCAGGCACGAGCTGCCACGCCACAGTGCCACTGGGGTCTGTCGGTCTTGTAGCACTAGGACTCTGTGGGTTGCCCAAACTGCAATAAATGACTTCAGGACTGGCATAGACACTGTTACCAAGCCAGGGTGAAGGGGAGCAGACAGCAGAAAGAATCAGATGTCTGTTTTATAATCCACACCTGCTGTGGAGCCAATGTGGAGACTGTGATTGCCTGCCTGGTTTTGGCTGTTTCACTCTGGATGCTGTGGCTGACAGCCAGAAGTCCAAGTACTTCTGAGCCCCTGTCACTGGATTTTATCTTATAGGTGGGGAACTGAGGTGCTAGATTAGGGGGCAACTTGCTCAGGGTCCCAGAGGAAGCCTTTGGCAGAGGTACCTGAGCCCATCCCTGGAGTGCCAGCCCAGTGCTCTGCTCACAAGGACACCCTGCCTCCCTTAGTTGTGTAAGGTCTTGTCCCGAGGCCTGTTCTGTGCACAGCAAGCAATACTACCCAAGGTGGGGAGGGGGACGTCCACTGCTCCTCAGAGCTGGAGCTCCAGGCCTTGCCCCCCGTATGCACCGTTCTTGGTGTATGTCTAACTGTCTCTTCTGTCCTCTCTTCCTGCTCCCCTCTCGTTGGGAAGCCACACTGCACTGTCTTCGCAGCTATGCCACCCTGAGGCACAGCCAACAGGTAAATTAACCTCTGTCACTCTCCCTCCTGTCCTTCTCAATGTTGTTGTTGTTCCTTCCTCTACCCCTGCTAACTGCCCCCTCTGCCCATGGCACACTCTCTGAAGCCCCAGTCTGCTGTGTGGAGATCCCCACACAGGTGTGAGTCCTGCCTGGATTCAAACCATTTCCTTCAGCTACACAGTGAGAAAACAGCTGTGCTAGGCACCGGAGACCCAGTCAAGAGTTAATCTGGAGTGGTTCACGTGAAGTCGGAACTAAACTGGTGCTAGACCTGCATACAGCGGGGGGGTTGCATTATATCAGGGTTGTAATTAAGATGGGGGGGGGGTGTGTCTTATGGACCTGGGTGTTGCTCAGCGGCCTCTGTGCCCAAAAACCATTACACTGCACTATAAAGGGAGAGGAGAATCCAGCACGTCTATTTCTTTTTGCTCCTCCAGGCCTTGGATGAACTGAGTCCTAACATGTCCAGGCCTCGGTGGGATTCAAACCTGCTTCTCCTTGTCTCACAGATGGGGTGGGTGGGTGGGTATCTGTTCAGACTGTGTGCCCTTATCTGATGGCTGGTGGTTGTGGTAGATGCTGTCTTCTGTTTTTAAAGCCCAACTGCACAGGTATTAGAGTTCAAGTGCTCATGATCCACCAGGCAGCTGTGGGAGCAGTTTGGCAAGGATGCACCCAAAGGGCTGGGATAGCCTGTGGTGCTGGAGAACGTGCCCATGAATTGTCTCCCGCTCCCTGACTGCATGCTCTGGAGCAGCCCTGTGGGGCACAGCAGTGTGCCAGCCCCACCAAGTGCCTGTCACTGCTTCTCACCAGGTGACTTGGCTTTCTTGCAGCTTATTCGACAGCGGCATTAACTGGGGCAGGGTGATTGCACTGCTGGGGTTCGGCTACCGGATGGCGATCCATGTCTACCAGCACGGGATGACCGGCTTCCTCCGAAGCATTGCTCGCTATGTGGCAGACTTTGTGCTCTGCAACCGCATCGCCCGGTGGATCGCACAGCAGGGAGGATGGGTGAGTGGGCCTGGCTTCCTACCCTGCACGGTGGTTGTGCTGGGCACATAAGACATTTCCACCAGCAAGGCAGCTCAGGTGAATATTTAGGGATGTTGAGCTCTGGGGGTGGCAGCACACTGGGAGAGACATTGGATGCTGCTTTGAGAGTTGAGCCACGGATGTGGACATTTGGGTGCTTAAATTCCTACTTGAGACCCTCTGTCCATTTTAGAGTAGTGAAAAAGCACCATCACTGTAGTGTCTGAGCAGGTCACAGTACGGGACCATAGCGCTCTGTTTATAGACGGGGGGGAAATTAATGTGCAGAGACTTAAGTGACTGGCCCAAGGTCATACAAGCAGCTTGCAGCAAAACAAGGGATTTGAACCAGGTCTCTCAGATCCTGATCCTTTGCCCATCCTTCCTCTTTAAAGGAGTGACTATGTTCTGCAGAGGGCAAAGCAGTTGAAGCTCCACTGACTTTGGTGGGAATTGTAGGTCTTGGGTCCTCTGCGAATCCAGCCTGTTGAAGCCACATATCTTGGGGGGGGGGGGGGCGCAGTGGATGACGTCCTTCCACTGGTGACTTAAAGAGTTAAGTTAACCCCTTGGATGCTTCAGATGCTTCCGCTGTAAATGCTGTAGAGCTGGCTGGATAATGAAAACTTGCTCACAACTTTCTGAAGTGGGTTACTTCATATCTGCAGTGATGTGAGTGGGACTGGAATTCATCTCATTGTCACAGGACAGAGTGCTAGCCTGTGTTTAATGATGCTGTCACCAAGATCATGGGCAGGGCATCCCAGAGGGTGGCTGGGTACCCGGGAGTGCCAGCTGAGTCAACAGTTATATCTGCCAGTCTTTCACCGAGCTGGTAATGCTCTCCCGCCAGGTGGCAGCATTGGACCTAGACAACGTTTACCTGAAGTACATGATGGTCGTGCTGATTGTGGTCCTGCTGGGACAGTTCGTGGTACGTCGCTTCTTTGGACATTGACCGTCGTGGAGGCGGAGGCCGAGGGTCTGGCTGAACTCCCTCAACACTCCGCTCTGTAACGACATCTCCCAAGAGAGGGGCTTGGGGAACCACAAAGGGAGATCTGCTTGGACCTACGACCCCTCTTCAACAAAGCACCAGGTTTTCTACCATCCGTGGAGAGACTGTCCCAAAAACTACTCAGAGGCATTGCAGGGGGACAGAAGAGGGGGCAGGGCATTCGTTATCTTATCCAGCTGTTGAGTCCTGGAGCAAGGGCCTTCCCAGTGGGCAGCAACAAGGGAGGGGTTCCAGGCTCCTCAAGTACAAGGAGATCAGAGAAACCCCATTAGAGGAATGAACACCCTGTTACAATAATGCCATTCTCCTTGTCTGCTCAATGGGGTTCTCACGTGCTCCCTGCAAAGGGCACAGATCCCTGTTTTCTCCAGTATCAGCCTGGACCCCGCCTGCACATGTACAACAGAATTATAAGTCACAGGAGGAGGCCAAGCCATGCGGGTTTTGCTTGTAGCTGCCCTTACTGCCCTACAGCCAAGCTCAGATACTCAGCCTTACCAGTTGCTTTTAAAAAGCACCTTGCCTGCCTTTAACCCAACAGAAGATTACTGGCAATCTAGGTGCACCCTAGAGGGGGGCAGGCAGACTCTTCCTGCCAGAATTCAACTCTGGAGATGTGTGTTTTCCCCGCTAGCATCACAGACATGGGGTGGCTTTCGCTGGTCATGAGCCCTTACAGATGCTTCAACCTTAATGTGCTGGCGGGTGTATAAATGAAGAGCTGGTATTGAATAGTATCAAATCAGACTTCCTGAGAAAGTGCTGTCTGCCCTTTCTCAGGCAAACCTTTTTTT